AAGAGCAGTCAGTGCTCTTAACCTCTGAGCCATCTCTCCAGCCCCGCATGTGTCTTCCTTTAAAGTCCCCACAAGGTGGATATGTTAATATATGCGTGTAGTCGCACAGTTGGGGAGGCTGGGGCGGGACGTTTGTGAGTTCCAGGACAGCCTTGCGGGCATAGTTTCAAAGCACAGCCTGGGCTTTGGAGTGAGATCCTGTATCAAAATGCTAAAACTACTTTAAGCATTTTAAAATTTAAATTTAAGACCAAGTCACAGATGACCCTAGATGAAGCCACAATTGTGTGTTTAACCTAGAAAAGTCCCCATGAGTCAAGGTAATTGTGGATGCTAAACCTTGAATTTGGATCAGGCAACCTGCAAAAGACAGGAGGGACCTGAGGGAGTAAGAGACACTTCGTGAGACGCTGGTACTTCAGGAGGAGTACAGACATAGCTGTCCATCTTCCGCAAAGTTTCCGACAATCCCAGCCGGAAACAGCTCTTCAAAGAACTGCCCACGTGCCTGGACAGAGTCCATGACCTCCTCTGGGACACAGCTAGATGCAAACACAGGTCACTCCCCTCTCAATGCTTGAACAAACAGACTGAGTGTCACACTCTGCAAGGTGGCAGCTGTGCCTAGAGCTGAGGACACCTGGATCATGGTACCAGGTTGCCAGGCCAATGTCTTGCTCAGCAGTCTCCTCAGGAAAGCAAGAAGTCACCGGGGTGGGGAGGGGGGTGGGGTCAGGGTACCACTGGCCTCCAGTCTCAGTTTGCTTGGTCATGGAAGAAATCCAGCCCTGGATAGACAGAGACACTGGCTTTCCTAGGATCAGAGAAGACTATTTTTAGCACCATGCTAACATAAGCTTGAAGATTCCCCTGCTGAGGCTGGGACTGCTGCCCCTGCTGATCGCTAAGCTTTAGGTCTAGGCCTCTTTCTTCTTTGTAGCAAGAGGCTGCAAACCCTGGGAGCTGCCTGCTGCCTTTCCAAATTCCATCCACAGTCATACCTGGCCTCACTCCTTCTTCTTGTCCTCTCCGTTATGTATTAAATTCATAGCAATTAAGTTTATCCCTCAAATGAATGATTGCCACTCCATTTAATTACTGCACGCTTGCCTGATAACACGGGAGCCTCATGAGAGGCTTACGACATTCCTTGCTGCTGCTCTTCTCCCCTCACTGGCCACATTCATGAAACTAAATTTATTACGATCTATTTGCCTTGGTGTGTTGCTTTATCTGGAGAGGGTTGGAAGCCCCACAAAGCCTACTCACCAGCCGAGAAAAGCTGAAGTTATCAACATGCACATTTTTAAATCGCTTTAGGGATGCAAGAACAAGCATGGGGTCTGTTTCACCTGGTTTGGTTAGTTTTTTTTTTTCTTTCAGAATCTCCAAAGTCTGTGGGACTCAGGCAAAAGCTGTCTCTTGGATTAAAAGAACTGGGCTCCCGTAGCTGAGAGGAGAAAGGAAATGGATAAATTTTCTACCTGTGCTCATGTCAGGGAAAGTGGCTTTATGATGAGTGGCCACTTAACTGTTCTCTGTCCCCATCAGGGACCATTGGCTTAGAGGACAAAAGGGACTTAGATGAGGTCGTCTCCTGCCCATGTTGCCTTTGGAGGGGAGACACAGGTCATCTGTGGAATCTTCATTGCTAGCAATCCTATAGAATGAGCCACCCCTGGTCTATCTAGCAGTCCCATGTGGAAACTGGAAGGACAGAATGTGCTATGAAAGTCACCCCGCCTGCAGAAATGTCTGCATGGGTGTGGTGGAGCAGAACAATGCTGACTTGGGCTTGAGGGCAGTGTGGAGCTGAGCCAGCAATGGCCCTGTTCACCCTTCCTTTCTGTCCCCTCTTTGTAGCTGGAAGGCCAGTGCACAGCTCTGCACAATGACAAACATGAAACCAAGGCTGAGAACACCAAGCTGAGACTCACTAACCAGGAACTGGCCCGAGAGCTGGAGCGCACCTCCCAAGAACTCCAGGAGGCCCAGCAGCAGCTGGAGAGCCTGCAGAGAGAGGCCTGTGAGCTGCAGCAGGAGAAGGAGCTGTGAGTCCAGTCCTAGTCACTGTGAGCTGCTCTGCTCTGTGCTGGGGACCAGGATCTTTCTTCCTAAAGACCTGTTTCCTGGCCTGTGTGTGAGGTGGAGAGTTACGATTCTTATTCTGAGATTCCTTTCTCTGCCTCCTCTTTTCTCCTTTCTTTCTTCAACAGAAACTCACTGTGTAGCCCAGATTGGCCTTGATCTTATCATTCTCCTGCCTCAGCCTCTTGAGTTCTGGGGTAACAGGCACAACCCCCAACACACACACACACACACACACACACACACACACACACACACACACACACACACTCCTGTTGTTCTTTGAGACCTCTAACCCTCTTCCAAGGATCTGAGACTGCTAAGAAAAGCAGTGCTGTGCCAGGTGGGCCTGGCCAGAGGTTCACAAGAAATAGTCCTTGTCCTAGTTGCTTTCTGTTGTGCTAAAACACTGACCAAATCCAACCCGGGCATGGAAAGAGTTTCTTTGGCTTCCAGAGTATGGTCCATCATCCAGGGAAACCAATGCAGAAACTTGAGGCAGGAACCCTGGAGGCAGGAACTGAACCATAGAACATGGGAGGGTGCCAATGATGGAGGCAATTCTTCAATAAAGTTCCTTCTTCCTAGGAATGTCAAGGTGGCAATCAGAATTAGTCATGAAGGCCCTGGTCTCTGGAAATGTGTTATGCATCTAGAAAGACTGGCCATTCTACCCACACATAAGGAGGCAGCCCGAGCAGAGACTGAAGGAGCAGAGGACCCTTGGTTCCCATTGAAGGCTAGAGACCAGGAGCCTCAGACAAACAAGAGTGGAAAGTCTTCTGAGGTCATCAGATAATACAACTGATGGATGACAGGGTTCTGGAATCCTGACTCAATCCCTAGGCATCTTTTTTTCTAGCAGTATTTCTCTGAGAAGACTATCTGAACCCACAAGGAAGCCTCACATCTCTCAAAGTTTAGCTTCCTGTTCACTGCTCTTAGTGCCTAGCCATTGTGCTCAGGCAGCTAGACAGAGGCAGAGCCATGCCCCAGAGTAAACCAAGTGGGTCTTTACCTACAATGGAGGGGATGACGCCAAAGCAGCCCTTCACCTTTGGGGACATTAGATTTTTGAGAGCAAAGGACTCTGAGACCAGGCAAGGGACTCTCTTATTCATGTGGCCACTCATTTATCTACATACTCACTGATACCCTCACCTGACAAATGGTCATTGCAAATTATTCCATGCTGGGTACCTTGGGCCTTCAACACATCTCACCAAGGTCAAGAACTTAACCTCATCTCATTTGATCACACTGTTTCCTTATGTGGCTGGTATATTGTCAGTCTGATTGATGGACAAGAAAAGTGAAGCCCCAGACGTTAAATGCTACACATACCCTACTAACTACTAAAGATAATAAGCCTTCTGGACACACCCATTCACAGCTAAGACAGGGACAACTTCACTTGCTCTTCACTTCTTCACTCACAAACACATCCATTCTGCCAGGGGTCATTGTGTGCTTGAAAGACACCAAGGGTACCAGTGGTCTGGATTCAGGGCCTGGGATGATAAGCTGACCAGCACTAAGACTCTGCACATCCTAAGTGCCGTTGTTCAGAGTGAAAGCCCCCACTATGTGAGTGGCGGCAAGATTCAGGAACAAGGAGTACATCCAAAATGCCCCCACTGTTCTGTTCTCCACCATCAGAACCCTTTGGGATGGACTGTCTGGATGAGAGAGACAAAAATGTGTTTGGCCTGGGAATGTCACTCTAGTAAAGGTATCTCAAATTGCAAGATTAAATAAATGGCTCCCAAGAAGCTGATTTAGAACAAAGCCCCGCCCCCATGCCAGTGCTTTGGATTGCCAGTGTTGAGAGGACCATGCATTTCATCACCAACAGGCTGAGTCAGCTCTTCCAGTCTGAGAATAGGGTGCCAAGGTAAAGGCATCTAACTTTGTGACTGAATTAGGGAGCCAGCCACTTCAAAATCCAACCAAGCTCTCAAAACTGCAAACAACTGAAGGCAGAAGCATCAAGACGGTGAAGGGAAACAAACACTTGTGTGGAGCATCACAGCTGAGCAGAGGGAATTGGAAGATTTCACACATCTTATCTTCATTAAGGAAGCCAGAGATGCCATCTCGGAAAAGATGGAGGCAAGGCCATGAGGAGGAAATGAGCTAGGAGTGTCTAATGGATGTGATGGGCCCAAGAGAGCCTTCCCCACCCAGAGAAGCCAGGGGAGAGTGCAAGAGCCCTGACTCATTTTCTGGAGAACGGAGACTCAGACCAACACCAGTGACAGCTCTGTAAAGCTCCCATTCACTGCTTTCATTTTACCCAGGAATATCGGAGTCTCGGAGAACCACACAGACAGCTAAGATTATGCCAGGGTCCAAACCTCTCTCTACCAGTGTTCCTGGTGTCTTGTGGTGCAGTGTTGCTTCGGAGCTGCTGGGAGGGGTAAGGAGGAGACAGGGGGTAAAGAGACACAACCATTTATCAGCAAGCCTCCCAAATGGACAAAATGAATTTTCCCATTCTCTGAAAACATTGAAGGTAGGAAAACTAGATTTGGGGATGAGAGAAAAAAAAAAAAAAAAAAAAAAAAAAAAAAAAAACCTCTCAAGCAGTGAGATAACACAAAAATGAAGAGCAGCTGAAAAGCTGCACCTCTGAGCTGATTTTTAATTAACTTTTATCTCAAAGATATAGTTTAAGACAAGATACAAAAGAATGACTCCCCAAGAGAAGTCTGTCTCCTCCCATGACCCCTGTCTCCTGTAAATCCTGGAGTCTGCTATGCATGTGCAAATACATCCTTATGCGTCCATGTGCGTGTGCACACGGACACACACACACACACACACACACACACACACACACACACACAAACACTTTCCTTTAGAGACTGGCAGCAAGCCAGACATACGGGTTTCTTTTGCCTTTTTAACAACATTTTGTAGAATGCTCCATAGCTCATTTCTTTCCTAAAAACAAAGCCAACAGCAACTCCCTGAGGGAAACTACCAACTTCCCACCAAGGATTATAACAAAAGGCAGCTGGTTCTCTCTTTCCCAGTCTGCTATTACTCAGGGAGAAGTGACCTCATGCTTAGTCAGTCAAATATCCAAGAGCTGCTGTTTAAAGATGTGCTTTCGTTAACACACAAAAACTGTGCTGGAAGTATCTGTATGTGTGCACACATGTGTGTACCGATCACCAAAGATATGTGTGCTCACTGGACAGACAGATGAGCATGTATTTGCATAAGTGCTCTCTCTCTCTCTCTCTCTCTCTCTCTCTCTCTCTCTCTCTCTCTGTGTGTGTGTGTGTACGTGTGTGTGTGTGTGTGTGTGTGTCCTGGTGCTGTACACAGAAGCAGAGAAGACCCAAATAACATGAGACTTATAAACTGCCTTCTCAGCCAAACACTTCAGACACAGACCTTGGGTCTGCAGTGAGTTCCTGCCTGCATCAGGTGACAACTTCTCAGTTGTCCCTGCCAGACAGCAGTAGGAGCTATATAGGAGAGCCCCCTGAGCTGGGCACAGACCTCTTCAGCAGCCAGGACCCAGACAGGAGCAGGCAAGGCTGTATGTGTTGTGCTAAGCAGAGCAGAGTCCCAGACAGGGCCTCAGGGACCCAGTTTGTATAATAGGAAATACACTGTTTTCCCTTAAGTTGAAATTAAATATAATTGGTAATAAAATGTGAGGAATTCACATCTCTGCAGGAGCCGGCAGAGTTGTGTTGCTTAATTAGGATTGTCTGAGGTGAACTTAGAATTTGATTCTGTCTGTTATCGTCGTCAAGTGACTTTGTAATTATTCTGTAAAGAAGAAGAAGGGAAAGACACAGATGACGCTTAAGGGCTGAAGTTATTAGGCACTTGGTGGGAGGGTCCCCAGACAGATGCTGATGTCAACTGCTCAGTAATGACATTTGAGAGGTGGTAGAGGGGTGACTGTCCTCACAGCCACCCCTCAGTGAGCACAGTCAGATGGAAAGTGACAAGTTTATCAAGCTGTTGGGTACTTTCCGCCAGAGAACCACACTGCTGTAGAAATGGGAACTCTGGGGCCTTGGTGGTGAGATGGGAGAGTTGCTTGGATTCTATGCCGAGGTTCAGAGCCCAGGGGCACAGATAAGACACAGTTATGAACTTAAGTCCAGTGCTGCCCACTTCTGTCATTTTTCTCTCCCTCCCCCTCCCTCCCTCCTCCCTCTCTCCGTCTCTCTCTCCCTCCTTTTCCCCTTCCTTGACCCCCTGAAATGTTTCTGTTTACTTGTATGATGGTAGTGAGCCCCCTCCTCCCTTCTCCATGTCTGCCACTCACCTGGCTGTGTCTGCCTCCTCCTCAGGGAAGTATACCGAGTGACAGAGAGTCTGCAGAGGGAGAAGTCTGGCCTCCTGAAGCAGCTGGATTTCCTAAGGTGGGTCTGTCTGGGACTTCTTTCCTTCCTGTACTCTGGAACAACTCTAATTTCAAGTATAATAGTATTTTCTCATCAGGACCACCAGCCCACAAATAATGACATGGAGACATTCATTATGAAAGCTCCGCCTTAGGGTAGGCTTGTTCCTAGCTAGTTCTTAGGATTTAAATTAACCTGTATTTTTTAATCTATATTCTTCCACGAGGCACATTACCTCATCTCTATACTATCCATCCTGCTCCCTCTGCGTCTGGCTGGTGATCCCCCCACCCCCTTTCTTCTTCCCAGAGTTCTCTCTCTTTGCTCAGAAGTCCCGCCTATACTCTCTGCCTAGCTATTGGTCATTCAGCTTTTTATTACACCAATTACAGCAATACATCTTCACACAGTGTACAAATACCCCACAACAGTTCACGGTGCCCACCTTTTCCCAGTCACCAGCATATGGTTTGGACTGCTGGGTGCTAACCACTGGGAGATATGGAGCCATCTATTCAAATGCCCATCTTCCTCTACAGTTTATCCCTCTCTGTGTCAGAATCTGCCTCATCCTTGGTCCTTATGCAACAGTTCATGATCCTTGGTTGAGAAGGAGTAGGTCTGAATGGGTAGCTACACTATGGCAAGTATACAATCTTAGCTCCAAAAAAGCGTTGAGTCCGTCAGGTAGTGGTGAATTCTGGAATCAACCAAGAGTATCTTGGTGTTAGAGAAATAAAATCCATGTCTGGATGCTCTTACCCCAGTCACAGAATGAGTAAATGAATCACACATAGGGCTAAGAAAGGAGTTTGCCCAGCTTCTAAAACCCACTGAAGTAAACTCAAAGTTCACTACCAAGAAAAGCCAACACAGAAAGGGGTGGTGGAAGTTTGGGGCTTTCTCTAGGTTTTCTATAGGCTATACCTGCCACCCGCTGATGGCCTCATGGAAAGAAACAATGATAGAGGGCTTTGGGTCCTCATTTTCCAAGTGCAAGTAGTTTTGAATCACTTTCAGGTGTGTATGAAACGTCTTGGCTCTCTTTTTTGTGACAGCAAGGTGAGGCCAGTGTCTTATGTCTTTAGTGGTGAAGAATTCAAAAAGTCACCTGTGTGTTGAGATGTGTTCCACTTAGAATGAGAGGAACCAGGCCTCCCTGGTTGAGAGATGGAAGGGGCCCCAAATGGCCATGTTCTACTTCACGGGAGACAAGGTCTTTGTTCTAAGGAGGCTTTGGGAAGAGAACAAGATGCTTAAGGACACTGTCTTATTCTTTGATTTTTAAGCTTGTTTTTCTTCATTCTGTTGTACTTAGAAAAAAAATAATGGAGGGATAGACCATAAACCAAAGAGAATGAATAGAAAGGAATGGTGATGACACTCTACAGATGTTCATGAGTCTTTCTCTTGAAGATCGGCATTTGTGAGGTTCAGATGCACACACCTGAAGCCTTTCAGCGCTATCACATGGTTACTACAGTTAGGCAGAGGTGAAGGAAGGGGCATGCCAGATTTCCCCATCTGTGACATCATCAAGGGTTTAGGAGAAAGAGAGACTTCCAGGGGTGGGGTAGGTAAAAGATAAAATAGGGGGACAGTTAGAATGTGAGGTGCTAGTGAGACAAGGACCATGGCTGGAGTGGAAGGCATGACTTCCTTAACCTCTGCTCCTGTTCCTGCGCAGAATATATAAACGAAACAGAAAACACACGTTGCCATGAAAGGATGAGCTTGAAGGCCTTCTAAACCCTCATTCAGGTCGCCAGCTTACTGCTTAGCCAGCAAGAGGATCAGTCCTTCAGGCACGAGCAGCTCACTTTGCCGTTGTGTGGGTTTACCTTCTGTACCCCTTCCCCAGCCTTGTTCCAATGGACTGACTATCATTGAAAACAATAAGACATATTGCCAGTGTTCTCTTCAAGAGGGATGGCATTGCAGGTCCTGTATCTTGGTTGTCATTCCTTGGGACAGCCCGAACTCTGATCCTACAGGATACAGGGAACTTAACAAAGTGCTGGGCCCACAGTCACACCCAGCAGATCACTCCATTAAAATTAGTGCTGGACCACAGCTGAGCCCACTCTCCCCCTTCAGAAGGATGGACTGGTTCGTGGCCACCAGCTCAAGTGGATGAGGAATCACAGACCTGAGTTGAGATGGGGGACGGCGGGCAGAAGAACCTTCAGTTACTCGTGTCTAGTGCACCTCACGAACACTCCACACCCTGAGTCTGTTCAGGTTCCCACTCTGAACTTGCACTAAACCTTGAGGAACCCTTCACTTTCTACCTTCCCACTTGGTCTCCTGCTCCAGAAATAGCCAAAACGAGTTCACTGAACTTGCTCCGTGTTGCCAGCATCTATGTCTCTAACTCTGTGGAAGAGGTGTGAGCTCCCAGTGCTCCTAGCCAAGGCTACCCCATGTCATCCCTGTCCCCAACTGGAGTTCTCAAAAGAATCCATCCTGTCTTGATCTGTTGGTTTTTCACTCTGCCCCATCTTTCCGTTCTCAATGCTCCAGTCTGGCTTTCTCCCCCAGAGTTCCACCAAAAATGTCCTCGCCCATGTCACCAATGACTTCTACTTCTTCAAAAATATCAGTCCATTCTCAGGGCTGCACCTTTTTTCTGTGACAGTCTGTTCTCAGCAGAACTTCCAAGGGGATCCTCTCAGTGCTAGAATCAGCCCACGGTACTCTCTGCCAGACGTCCCACCCCACCCCACCCCACAATCAATGGTTTCTTCTCTTGTTTCGACTGACTATCAAAGCTTTTACTGTGGTCCTGGAAGCTGTGATTAGTTAAGTCTTGATGCAGCCACTGCTCTCCGACCCCATCTCTTTGGGTGCCTTGTGTCCATCCCTTCTGTCTCTCCCATGCAAGAATTTACACAGTCAAGTCTTTGCCCTGCTCAATTCTCTGCCCAAATACTCTTTCCCCAGAAACCTGTCCAGATCCCCTCCCCTCCCTAGGGTATGTTAGATGCTGCCTTACCAGCCAGGGCTTCCCTGACCATTGAGGTTGAAATGCTTCATACTCTCTAGTTCTCCTTTTCCCATGTCCCTGCTTTAGTTTCCCAGCAGTGCTCACCCCCAACCTAACACATGCTTCCTGAGTCCTGAACTCTGTGGCTGTTCACTCCTGTATCCTTGATGCTGAACAAAGTTTGATAATCAACTCATATTCCATCCGTGTTCATGAACAGATGAACTGAGCAGAGAAGGGGCCCTCTAGAAGGTGGACATGCCATCCTGCCTCCTGAGTGATAAAGGCTGAGTGTTCCTCAAGGACAGTGTGTGTCACAAGAACACTAAGTCTTATCCCCGTGCCTCTGAGCAGATTTATATATGAACTCTCCTCTATCCATAGCCACATCCCTGGGCATTCCATATCAGCCTTTCTCCAACACCCACCTGGCTGGCTAATGGGATGTCACTGGACCTGTCAACTGCAGAGTCCATGTTTAAATAGCTTTCCTTTCCTATCCACAGGGAGAGGAACAAACATCTCCGAGATGAACAGGACATAAATTTTCAGGTAATTGGTTGACCAGTGCTTTCTTTGGACTGGGGAAGAGTTAGATAAGGCCCAGAGGCAATCTGATCCATGCCAGGACTCATCAAGACTGCCCTGACACTTACAGTGTGTTCGGTCTTGTCTATGTGGGCAGGATGAAAGTGTAAGATACTATGCAACTATAAAAAGGTAACAACCACACACAAATTTTCTATAAAGGAAAATGCCTTCCTCTTGGCACAATCAGACTCAAATGTTTGGAAGAGCCACACATTTCTTGGATGCAAAAGTGACAGTTCCATCCATGAGATGGTGCAGTTGAAATGTCATCATCACCTGAAGCAAAACATTCAGTTTGTTCTTTCGTTTAAATTTTTATCTCCTGATGAAAACCTCAAACTTTATGTTGTCAGAAACAAATTTACAATGCACACATAGCTCACATGGCTATTTACACAAGTTGATCTTGTGTACAACCTTTACTCTATACAGACCCCCTCCCCCCGTCCTGTACCTGAGCACAGTGATCGGTACTCTGTACTTTCCCAAATTGTGTGACATTCACAGGGCTTCACAGTGGGGCATGTAGAGCCTCTAGAATGCTGTATCTCTTTCTTCACTTCCCTTTTAAGACAGTACACATAGGAGTCTCTGAAGGAGCAGGGCAGCTGGATAGGACTTCCTAATTGTATGATCATCATAACTTGTGTGTCCCTGGAGAAGGCATTGGCTGAGCAGTAACCTCAACAGAGTCGGCCTCTGAGGGTTGGTGTGCCTTGAATTAGGCCCTGCCTGGCTTATGCTGCTGTCCCAAGGGTCCTAGTCAACACCACTTCTTCGACATCATTGGCCAACAGGAATTGTCTCGGCTGCCCACCTGTGTGTACTAGAACTGTGTGTAGGCAAGATTTAAGCTTACACATGGTTGTCTAATAATGATAATGATTATAATTGTTTTAGAAGAAATACCAATTTCTTTTAAACTATCAACCAAATGCCATCCTAATCCCTTCACCTGCCAAACTCATTTTGTTTTGAAAGAGAGGAGGTGGAGGGAAGAGCACCAGGAGGATATCAAAGAAAAGGGGAGAGAGCCCAATTGATGCAGAACAGTAACTGAAGATTTGCCTGGAATCACTAAAGCCATGTCCTGAGGGCTGCTGGGGGCTCAGCAGTTCCTCGTCTCATTATGAGTCCACTGGAAGCATGGGGTGACTGATTAAGGCAAGCCTCTTCTTGTGAGCTGGCGCCTCATGTCTCCTGGATGACGTCTGTTCCAGTGTCTTAGTAAAGGGGTTGGGAGTCCTGGCCCTCTCAGGGTCTGCGTTACAGATATCTGGGGTGTTCACCACATCTGCTCCACAGAGAACTGCAGAGGTCTCAGGCTAGTGAGGGTGTGGTGGGCACAGCCCTGCGCTAACTGCCCCTCTGGGCAGTTCCCTAGCTCAATACCTCATGGGCTTTGGGGGCTAGGGAGATGAGAGCCACAAGGAAGACTGTGGCTCAAAATACAGGAGTTTTTGGACCCTGTAAAGATTTTCTTACGAAGTAAATACCTTTGTTTTCTGTTTTTGATCTCTTGCAAATTACCAGTGTTCCTGTGACGAATAACACAGGAGGCCCAGGCTCTTAACTCTGTGTTCCCTTCTCTAAATAGATTCCTGGAAAAGAGATGGAGGAATCCTAGTTGGGGGTGGGGTAAGGGTGCAAAAACATGGCAGTGGGTGACTGAACAGGGCTGGGGGAACCTGTCCTGCTTCTCTCATTTAGAGGCCTGTCTAGAGCCTTCCCTGACTTCTGCTCAAGCTTCGAGACGAAGCCACAGGCATGGATCTCAGGGCATTTTGTGTTTCTGCAGAAAGATAAGGCGGCCAAGGCAAACACAGCTGCTTCCAAGGCAAGCAGGAAGCAAAGATCTGGCTCTGTGATCGGCAAATATGTGGATGGCAGGGGAATTCCCAGGAGGTAAGTCATCAGCCATTGGTCCTCTTTCCTCCATTCACTCATCTCATAGCTTTTAGGAGCCTCCTCTGGGCCCACTTTACTGGTCTTTTAGGTGTGGCCCTGCCAGGGAGGCCTGAGGTCAGTCTCACTCACTTGCCTTGAATCTTGAAGGTCATAGCCCTCTCTGTTGTGCCATCCAAGCTGCAGGAGACTATGCAGAGCAAACCTGTAGGATACACAGCATCTTTGAGGCTATCCTGCCCTGCTGTGGGGCTGCGGTGGGAGAGGAGGGGCACTGATGGGAACTGCAGAGCAACTGAGAAGGAACGGAGAGGAGAAGGAGGAGGAGGAGGAGGAGGAGGAGGAGGAGGGGGAGG